TCCCTACAGTGCCCCCTAACTGTGCCAGGCAGCCTGCCTCCCCATGCCAAGCCCACTATGTCTCTGGCAGGTACACCATTCAGGACCTGCTGGAGCACTCCTTCTTCCAGGAGGACACAGGAGTGCATGTTGAGCTGGCTGAGGAGGATGATGGCATCAAATCTGGCCTCAAGCTCTGGCTGCGCATGGACGACACCAAGAAGCTTCATGGCAAGTACAAGGACAACAATGCCATTGAGTTCCTCTTTGAGCTGTACAAGGACGTGGCTGAGGAGGTGGCCCAGGAGATGGTAGGTGCAAGAGTGAGGATTGGGTAGCAGCACCACTCTCACCTTCCTCTCCTGCCCCCTCTCCCCTATAAATATCCCTCTTGGGGCCTCTAAGGCCCACAATCTCCCCTGTGCCTGGTTCCCATCTTTTCTTAGTTGCCCAACTATTCTACCAGCCTGCAGCCTAAGACCGGAAAGGCTGTGGCCCAGGCAGTGTAGGGCAGGGCTGTGCTACCTGATGCTGCTGGTCTGTGCCTCTACAGGTGACCCTGGGCTTTGTGTGCGAAGCAGACTACAAGCTGGTAGCCAAGGCAGTGCGGGACCGTGTGGTGGCCATCAAGCGCAAGCGGGAGAAGCTGAAACAGGCACAGGATGAGCTGCAGCGCAAGGAACGGGAGAAGCAGCAGGGCATCCTGCAGCTGCTGGAGGAGTTGAAGTCCCCTCTGGCACCGGGGACCCCTGCACCCTCTCCAACCACACCTGGCTCTGGGGACTCCATGCTCAGCGGTAGCTTCCCCCCGGAGCCTGAGGAACCTGAAGCTGACCAGCACCAGCACTTCCTGTACCGGCATACCAGCTACTCTTCTGCCACCTGTATGTTGACAGTGCCTGGCTCCTGCTTGGGGGGGTATGGCCCAGCATTTTTGGGGGTGGGAAGGAGGGGGATCTGCCTTACACTGGCCAGCCACAGAGATGGGATATCAGGTCTCATTTGGGGCTCATGGGGGCAGGGGCGGGCAGTGTCCTGCTTCACAGTGAGTGTATTGGCATCTAGCTGATGTTGCTCGGAGCCCTGAATGTGCCAGCTGGTTGCTCTGGTGGCTGTTTCTCCAGGCAGTTGCTGCCTGGTTTCTCCCTGCTTCTGAAAAATGGCAGTTCCCATGGTGGAGTTGGGCAGGGGAAAGCCCGACCAGCCCTTGTTCCTAGAGCCTGGGCAGAAAGCTGTTTCCCCACAGCAAACTGGGAGCTAGGAGTTCTGCACCACAGGAGCCCTCTGACACCACTTTGTCTTCTGCAGCTGACTGTGAGACAGATGGTTACCTGAGTTCCTCAGGGTTCATGGACTCCCCCAACCTGTCCCATCGCAGTTTCTCTGCAGGGGAACCCTTCAGCCCACCTGCTGCTCCACTAGACTGCTGCTTCCCCTCGGTGAGCAGGGCCTTGGGCTGGGCTGGGGCAAGAGGGTAGCAGGTGGCTCTGCTGTGGGGGATGTAGGTGTGGGGGAGTGCAGCGTAGGGACAGGGCTGGTAGGTAGTTGTGCTGCGCCCTCACTCTAGTCGTCCCACCCCCTGCAGAGCATTGCAGTGAGCATGTCCTCCGAGCGCCTTTCTTCTGCACCAGCCAGCGAGTTCTCCTCCCCTGTGGACAGGTATGACTGGACCTTATCCTCATGTGGGGGCAAAGCATGCTGGAGCCATGTGAGCCCCCCAGCGTGAGGGGCTGAGCAGCGTCTCACCTGGGCAGGGTAGCACCTGGAGTGAGCTAGCTCTGGTCACAGAGGGATGTGAGCTGGGAAGATGGTATAGATTAGGACTGTGTAGGTCTTGTCATAAAGCAGGAGAATTCAGAGCTGAGAGGCTCAGGGTCCAGTGGGGCAGCAGGGGGCAGTTGATAAGGACCTTAGGACAGGAAGTGAACTGTATGCAGCCTGATACTGGGGCCTCTACCACAGCTATGCATCTGATGTGGCATCTGGCCTGAGCGATGGGTATGAGGGGCTGTCAGCCAGTGAGCGGAGTACCAAGCTGCCTGCCAAGCGGTCATCGGGAAAATTGCTGCGGCGCCGAGCCAGGTCCAGGCTGCGCATCACAAATGTAAGTGTAGCAGGTGGGTGTGGGATTGGGTGTGCTGCCTGCCAGCTAAGGGGGAGAAGGGAGGGCTAGGACAATAAGCCCTGGCTCCCCCAATTGCTCTCCCCCAAGGTGAGTTCCTTCTGCTGTCCAGGGATGGAAGGGGCCATTATGTGGCATACAGAGGCCTCCCCTGCATGAGTTAACCCTGCCCCTGCTCTGCAGATCTCCGACAAGAGTGACCGGGTGGTGGAATGCCAGCTGCAGACTTACAACAACAAGATGGTAACCTTCAAGTTTGATCTGGATGGTGACAACCCTGAGGAGATTGCTGCTGTCATGGTGAGTGTGCATTGTTGTTCTTGGTGCTGGTGCTTGGGGAACAGGGCCCCAGGCTGCTTCTCCCAGTGATGATCTTCCTCCTTGACTCCTGCAGGTCAACAGTGAGTTCATCCTCAAGTCAGAGCAGGAAGGGTTCATTCACCGCATCCGGGACATCATCCACCGCGTAGAGACCCTGCTGCGCAAGGATGGGCACAGCAGCAGCTTGGAGGCGGCTGGGAGCCCCGAGGCTGAGAGTCTGTCACCTGTGGCAGCTGCAGCTACTGCTGCAGCTGCTAGTTGCCCAGTGAGTGCCCTTCATCCCCTTCGGCCAAAGCTATTCCCTTCCCTCTTCCCCCAGCGGGCAGCTGCCCATCTTTGTGTGATGTGGAGGAGGGAGAGGGAGCAGCTCTCTATGAAGAACAAAGCCTGGCTTCCCTGATTCCTACCACAGTCTCATTGATGCCACTTTGATATGCCACGGGGGGGAGCCCCAGCAGCCAGCTTCCACAAGTCTTTCCTGGGCATCTCCCTTCCCCAGGCTAAGTGGAACTTGGCCCCTGCCATCTGACCCCGCAGGCCTGGGTCCTGCTGATTGGTGGGTGCAACAGGTTGGTCTTGCACATATTCATGGGTGCCTGTAATGGGTTGCACTGGGGGCCTGAGAGAGGATGCAGTGCATCTGGAGCCAGATGCCACCCCTTGCTCTGGCTCAGTCTCTGTCTTTTGTCAGCAGGCGGAGCTACAGCTGCAGGAACTCTCCCACTCCATCTCTTCGTCATCCTCGCTAAGCGGTATGTCTCTGTCCTGCCGAGCTTTGTGTTAGCATGGCACTGACACCCCTATCTCCACACCTCCCACTTAGGGGTTGTGTCCACACCAGTGACTGCCTGCCTTATCTGTCTGTGACGCATCCTCTCCTGGAGTGGGTCAGAATGCTCTGTGCTGCCTGCTGGCAACATAGTAATGGATGGCTTGCATTGAGAAGATGGCAGGGCATCTGGGTTTTTGGGAGCCCAAGAAGCAGTAGATGCATGGCTGTGCCTGCCAGAGGGAGATGCAGGCATGGGCCTTTGCTGTCTGAGTGGCAGTATAAATTGGGCCCAGTGTGGGGGGCTGTGTTTGCGCATGGTACCAGGGATGACTCTTACTCTCTGTCCCAGATCTGGGCTACACCAGCCCTAGCCAGTCAATGCAGTCTTTGATCCAGCCCTCACTGAGCAGCTCCCCATCAGAGAATGACATCTTCAGCTCTGCAGACCCCTTGCCAGGGACCCAGCCCAATGTGCTGTGGTCTGCACTGCCAGGAACATCTGCAGGTACTGGGGCAGCAGTCTCTCTGAGCAGAAAGAGAGTTTGAGTTTTGGAAGAGGGAATTGCACCAGTGGGAACTGTCTTTCTCTTTCCCCCCAAGGCTGTTCTCACTGTCTTCTCCCTCCACAGGTTCCCTTAGTGCAGCTGTGCAGAGCTGGCCCTCCTTCCTGACAGCGCCTGGCCTGGTCTCAGGCCAGCTACCCATCTCCCAGTTCCCACAGACTGTTCCCGGTGCCGAAACTGGGGGCTTCCCACCTGCACTGGCACAGTCTCTCCCAACCCAGCCGTCCACCTTGCTGCCTCCGGGAGGGCTGAGCATCCCAGAACCCCTGAGCCCGCCTGTGACCAGTGCCACACCAGCCATGCCCCACTGGTCTCCAGCTGCCCCTTTGCTGTCGCTGGCCAACATGTTCTCCTTGGCAGTGATGACTGTGGCCCAGACACTGCTGCCAGCTGTGTCATCCCCCAGTCCAGGTGGGCATATCTGCTCACCACAAGTTTCTGAGCCACAGGCGCTGTACCCAGGAACAACACACTTTGTCTACCCTGACTCGTCAGCCCTGGTGGAGCCAGCTGTGCTCTGCAATGGGACTGGGAAACTGGATGAGGCCAGTACTGCTGCCTTGGTTCCACATCCCCTCTGGGCCCCAGTGCCTGCTCCAATCTTGCAGGACCCTGGAAACTGTGAAGCCACAGAGAACCCACTATCATCACAGAGTGCTGCAGAGAGACTGGACAGCAGCGTGGTAAGCAGGTGCTTCTTTTGCTCCCCATGCCCTGCCTGGGTTGTGGAGATTCTCTGTGCCCCCAGAGCCTGTTGCTGGGGTCTGGGCTTGGCAGACAGGCTGAGCTGGATGCTGTGTACCTGGACTAGATCCTATTCTTCCCCTGAGGGGGTTGGAGAATTTGGTTGACTTGGCATTGCCTCTGTACCAAGTATCAAGCTGCTGCAGGAGGGGCCTGGTCAGACCCCTGGGAAGAACCTAGGTATTGGGGAGCACTGCCAGGATATACTGACTCTTATGAATAGTAAGGAAGCCCCCTCTGCTGAGTTAGTACCACCCCCATCCTCCTCCCTCCCTGCTTCCCCCTGTGTTTGCTGGCGGGTAGGGTCATGTGGAGGGGCCTGGCTGTGGTGCTCCAGCACTGAGATGGTGGGATGGTCCTGGGGCAGTTTCTGCCAGTGCACTGAACTAGCTGTGGAGCTGCAGGGATGAAGCACTGCCCTTGGGGTGGGCCAGTCTAGGTTGGCTTGAAGTCTTAATAGGGAGCTAGGCCTGTGGCAACCTCTTTAGAGTCTGAGGGCCTGAGCTAATAGCTGCAGCTCAGTGCAGAACCACCTGCTGCTAGGCATTAGCCAGCACAGAGGCATCCTGTTGACATCTTGTGCAGGGTAGGGGCTGAGAGTGGCCTGGCACTTGCTGATGCTGCCTGGGGCCTTGTTTTCCAGGTGCCACTCAGCTCCCCCAAACCCAGTCACCACCTGATCGTCTCAGAGTCACCTGCACCCAGCATGCCCAGGACTCGGCTGTCACCCATCAATGAAGGTGAGGTGCTGAGCAGGCGAGGAGACTGATGGGTGGGGAACGTGGAGCAGGGATGCTGCTGCTGCTTGGCTGAGGTGCAGCATGCAGGTGCGGGGCAGCCTGACCTGTGGGGAGTGGGGCTGGAGCGTCTCAGAAGTGGTATCTGCTTCATGGAGGGACCACCAAGCAGCTCCCCTTGCTGCTGCATGTGTGCTTAGGCAGCCTGGTCTTCTATGGGTTGGGTACCAGTGCTGAGGGGGTGCATCTTGGACTTTGCTGAGCCAGGGCTCCCACCTGTGCTCAGGCAGAGCCCATCTCTTGTTCACACTTCTCCCTGCTCACTGTCAGAGGCCAGACCCCAGGTTCTGGGTCGCTTCCAGGTGACCCGGTCCCAGGACCCAGCTGACAGCCCCCCAGATCAACAGAGCCAGAGTGACAGTGAGCAGAGTGGGCAAGAGCCTTGGGAACCTGGGACAGCCACCAGCTCCCCCCAGCCTATGGTGGCCAGCTCCCCCGATGGACAGGAGAGCACCAGCTATGACTCGGACTCTGTCCCTGAGACTGCAGTACAGGACCCAGACGACCTGCTGGCTGAGGAGGGGACACCAGTGGCACCAGCAGAGAGTGACCACGATGGGCCTGGAGTGGAAGAGCAGGAGGAGGGCATTGAGAACCCCCAGCAGGCAGTGTTGAGCCAGGTGTGGATCAGCTACTCGCGCAGCTCCTCCTACCTGAGCAGTGATGACAGCGAGAGTGAGGATGAGGAGATCTGGGAAGAGTTGCAAAATCTGCGGCAGAAGTGAGTGGGGCCAAGGGGAGCTGAAAGGGTGTATTCTGGTGCCTGGTGGTGTGGGCAGGTACCGTTGCTGCACTCTTCCAGGCCCTCCCTCTGTTCTCTATGGGGAACTGGGCTAAGAGGCAGTTGTCCAGACCCACATCTACATGGTCCCTAGGGACCCGCAACCCCTGCTCCTGCCCTTATGGCCTATCTGCCCCCAGGCATCTCTCGGAAGTACAGACATTGCAGTCCATGCAGAAGAAGGAGATCGAAGAGTTGTATCTGAGGATGGGAAAGCAGCCACCCCCAGGCATCGTCTCCCCAGCTGCCATGCTCTCTAGCCGCCAGCGCCGCCTCTCCAAAGGCAGCTTCAACCCATCCAGGCGCAACAGCCTCCAGCGTGTGGAACTCTTGCAGCCCACAGGTACCAGCTGTTTTCTAGCGCCCAAGGACCCTGCTCCCTGCCCTCCCAAGCACTGGGCTCACACACCCTGGGAAGTCTTAAGCAGCCTCATGGAGCTGGGTGCTGTGGTAGACTGTGCCCCATGTTGCATAGAGAACAGCTGTGGGCCATGGCTTTAACCAGCTGCCTGAAGAGCATGCACTCTACTGTCCTGTGTCTGAGGAAGGCTCAGTCCCAACAGCTACTGCTGCCATGTCTCTGTTGGTGCTGGCCCATCCTCAGCTGCATCTGGCCCTGGCAGGGATCATGCGCCGGAACTCCCTGAGTGGCAGCAGCACCGGGTCCCAGGATCAGCGGTCGAACAAAGGGGTGACGTTTGCTGGAGACTTCAGCCGGATGGTGAGTCAGGGCAAAGATTGTTCCATGGGCCTCAGCCCTGTGTATGGGACCTCCCAGCTCATTCACTCCCTACCCAGCAGAGCAGAAGCTTGGCTAAGCTCTGGGTCAAAGGCACATACTAGGAGAGGGGGTGGAAGGAGGAGGGTGGAATGTTTCCTTCCCCAAAACTGGGCCCTGAGCTCCCTTTCTCAGCAGTTCCTGTTTGTGGCTGCAAGCCCCTGGGGAACAGCCATGGCCTGGCCCAATGTGGTGGCTTGCTGGCTTCTTCTAATGTTTGGGGCTCCCTGCCAAGAGCCATCACTGTCTCACTTCTTTGTCTTTCCAGTAGTTGGCTGGTCAGGAGTGACTTGCATGGACTACCTCAGCCAAGCGCTTGCTGCCCTAGAGGTCCAGTGAGGGGCCCTGCTGTGAGCTGGGAATCCTGTGCTGTAGTTCCCTTCCTGGTGCAGAGGCAGCACGGGCTCTGTGGGGGAAGAGAGCAACTTCCAATGGGAACAGAAAGCCCCTTCTGTTGCTTATCCCTTTCAGTTCAACTTCTGCAGGCCAGGGAGCCTCTGTGAGAGTGCCTCATGGTCTAGAGGGGCACGGAGTCCTGGCCCAGCCCGATACCTGCGAGGTCAATCCATCCTTGTTCAGCCGCAGAAGCCTGAGCCAAAGCTCTAGGCATGTGATCAACCACCTTACAGCCCCCCAGTCCTGCCCCTTCTCTGCACAGTCCCTCCCCTTGTTCAGACTGCAGGAGCTACAGGGAACTAGGGGGAGCCTGGCTCTGAAGGGAGTGGGGGAGGGCACACCAGAAAGGGAAAAGTATGCAACAGGGCAGTGGCCCAACTCCACATACATAGCAACAGTGTCTGGAGGGCCTCATACCTTGTTTCAGAGCATCTCCTTGCAGTGATTGCTGCAAAGAGGTCAGCTCCCTCCAGCCTTTCCCACTGCATTTCATTCCTGCACACCTCCCCTTCCTTCAGTTGCAGCAAGTGTGACTCAGTCTCTGAGGGACGCCCCAGGCCATGTTTGCGGAAGGCAGGGCTGGGGCTATGGAAATGTGTGTGCCAACATCCTTCCCCTTCATGACAGCTCTTGCCTCTGCTTTGCTCCCAGCCTCAAGAGTCCACAGGTTATGTGTGGATGGATGCTTTTGTCTCCTGGGGTGCCCTTGACCCAGAGCTGTAAACCAGCAGAAAAAGCCCAAGTGCACTTATGCCTCTGTGTGTTCTAGTATCAGGGAAACCTTCTGCCTTGCACCATGGGCTGCCTGAGGCTCTGCCCTATGCTGAAGACAATGACTGCTGTTCCAGAGCCAGGGGTGGCTAGCCCTAGGCTACCATGCAGCTCCCCACCTGTTCCAGCTGAGCTGTGAGAGATGCTGCTGCCATATGAAGTTCTGCCTCTGCCCTGGTAGAAAACAGAACAGACTGATGATGTAAAAACCTCCCTGTACAGTGGTTGTGAATAAAGTAGAGCAAACAAAGGGGCAGCTGTCTTTTATTGCTCTGAGACCGCACAACTCCAGCAGCAGAGCAAGAGTGGCCACAGGGGCATCGGAAAGCAAACTGTCCTTCCTTCTGGAAAAATACATTCCTGTTCTCCCCCTTTCCTGCCAAAGATGGATGAAAGACAAATGTCAGCTTGTGTTGCCTGGTTTGTGCATGGGCTGGAGGAGAGAGAAGGAGTAGGACAAGGACAGCCCTGTGCCACTTACTAGTATTCACATGTCCAGCCAGCCCTTGGTGCGCATGTTGGATTCAGTGAGATGATAAAAATGAATGACTGAAATGGGAATTTTCCCTCTAACAACATAAACCTCTTAGGGAAGTAGGTTGCTGAAAATGTCCCCACAGATGCTGCTCCCCCACCCCAGCTGGATGCCTGCCAACAGCTGCTTTAATGAACTACAACGACCTGCAATCCTTTCACAGAAGCATTTATTACAGATACAGAAGGCAGTGGTATGTGCCAGCACCTGGCTTAGGTCTCTTGCCAGCATTTCCCCGGGGAAGAGGCCAATGTGGACAAGAGCTCCTTAGCAACCTCTCCCTGCAGGGAAGGGGTGCTCACACTGGCCTTTCCCCACAGTGCAAGAGGGTCACTTCTGCTGGCCAAGCCCCTTCCCCTATACAAGTGGATCAGGATTGGACTGGTCATCCCCACCCCATCCTGGGCTAGGTGAAGCCCCAACTAAGCCCCTTTCTCTACAAAGCTGGGCTGGCCCCAGTCCCCCTGCGCAGCAGCATGGAGCCCCACCACCATGCCCACCCGGGGCTGTGTGTGGGGACCACCGGGCAGATGTGGCTCACCAAGAGACCAGGAAGTGTGCCAGGGAAAAGGGCTGGTGCCCCAGTCCAACCTACCCAGTGACCCTCTCAGTCCTGGCGCACAGAGGCGAGGGTGCACAGCGCTGCCACTGGCAGGGGGGAAGAGGGCTGGGGAGGCACCGCCAGGCCCCTGCCACCCCTGCCCCCCAC